TGTTTTCGATCCAATAATGGCTGAAGAAGATGACCCACAGGTTCAAGCAGGAGACTGGGACACATTATTTAGTAACAAAGAACAAGACTTCCATGTTTTTTTCAGTTCATAAATGTTGAGTAAAAAAAAAAAAAAAAAAAAAAAATCTGTAGTATGCATCGTAATAATTTGTGTATAATTTATATATGAATAGTGGGATATGCTTTTATAATGCTCCTCTGACTCCTACTGGTAATATTAATGTATACCATAAATAAAGGTACTAGAATTAAAATTCATTTGGTATTTCACCCTGTGCAGTGAAAATATTTTAAGAATATGTAACAGAGAATTATAAGATAAAATAATACCACTAAATGCAAAGAATATCAACATAATAAATGCAAATGTCACACTTTTTCAACTTCATCCCTAGAGGCATGTGTGTTGTTTGTTTTTGATTTTGTCAACTGCACAGTACAGTAGGGACAGTTTAGCATCATATGTGAGAAAAAGAGCACTATGATGCAATTCACCTTGCCAGAAATTTGGAAACAGCATGCTGTACTGCTTGGCATTTGTGCTGGAAGTTCTAATATGAAAATTTCAGGGTGTTTAGGTGTCAATCTAAGGACTGTGCAGAGGATTTGGAAAGAGATGGATGAGTCTAATGGTGATTACGAAGGTGTTTGGAGTGATAACAATGTTATTCCTCCACTGATCTTCTCACAGGGCCTTAGACTCAACATTGAGGCCTACATCAAGTGCCTTGAGGAGGTAGTGCTGCCCTGGGTCAAGAGGGTGGCTGCTGGAAGACTGTTTGACAACAGGACTCTGCACCATGCCACACAAGCAGAAGATCCCAGTCATGGCTGTCAGATAATTTCTGCAAGTGCATTCACCCTTACATCTGGTCACCTAATTCCCCAGACTGCAACCATCTTGATTATTATATCTGGAGCAACAATACTACTTTTAATACCAAAGATGAACTGGAGGCAAGGATTATAGCAGCATTCAACAACTTAAACAAGGAAACCATCACAGAAAAGATACTGGAGATTTTTAAGTTGTCTGGAGGCCATGGTTGAAGCCAATGGCGATTTTATTGAATAAATTTACTCGTAAGTATTTCAAGATATTTTTGTTTAATTTTGGTAAATATATGTTAAAATGAGATGTCAGTGTTATTGTTTTTCATTTTTGGCTTAATGTAGACTACAATTTATCTTTACATGTACAAGAGAGTTCAAGGTCAATTTCAATATTTTTTATCAGACCTTGTATTTATTAGCTTATGGCTATAATCAGTTCTCGTATGATCGCCAAAGTTAAACAGCATTGAGACTGATCCGTACCAAGATGGGTGACCACTTGACAATATATATATATATATATATATATAAGCAGATCATTATTCAAACATATATTGTTAAATATAACAGACAACGAATGTCTATTATGTTTGATCATGAGCCATTGTAAGCTTTGTATAGAGGTTTTAACTTTGGGAGAAAATAAAGACAAAAATTGTCCAACATTTGCATATTTTTTGATGATGATGTTCCTTGATCTAAGCTTTCAGCTCACATGAGCCATCATCAGAGTGGTTATATTGTTAAATATGTCTATTATGTTTGATCATGGGCCATTCTAAGCTTAAATCGAGAAACAGCATAATAAAAAATATATCCAAATGTTGGACAGTTTTTGTCTTTATTTTCTCCTGAAACTAAAGTCAGTATACAAAGCTTAGAACAGCTCATGATCAAACATAATAGACATTCATTGTCTGTTATATTTAACAATATATGTTTGCATATATATATATATATATATATTTACATAGCTATATGTATATTGAACAATATAATTCCCAAAAAGGTGAAAAAATATACTTGGGATATTACAGACAATCCAGAAAAATATTTTCGAGTTTAACTTTTAAAATATGTGTGTGTTTGTGTGTGTTCTTCATGGTTTGGTTGATACACCCTGCTACTATTGCATCTAAAGAGAGTTTAATTACCATGCCACCTAGCAGATGTTAAGTGAAGTTCCCAGTCAGACAAGTTCTACAATATCCTTGCCATAAAAAAGCAAACAATCAATCAATATAGATATTTATTGGTTTCAGGACACATGGTAAAGAATTCATTTTTCATGATGCATTGTGGTGTGTAATCTTTGGAATAGAGGTTAACACACACCTCTGGTCTTTTGAACAGGAGTAGAGGTCTATCCCTTGTTTTCTGTTTAAGACTGTGTTTCTGGTCCCTCCTAATTTCTAATTCAACTCTATATTTCTAATGTCTCCACCTAAACCCTGAAATTTATAACCTTATTGGGTTTCTGGTTCCTTCTAAAGTCTTTTCCTTCTCTTTTACTTGCATCCTAGTAGAGTTATTACCTTGCTAAATGATATGCCTAAATATCAACATGCTTTAATAAAAATAACAGACACTTATAGTAATTTATACTAGTATATATGGGGATTGAGGAATCGGAGAGCCTAGTTTGAATTCCAGTCAAGTTCATTTACGTGCTAATACCCTTGGGAAAGGTATGAATCCAACTCTTTTCCTCCCAGTTAAGTGTTAATAGTAGGATAGACTGGGTTCTATACCCTTGGGTGGCAACTGGCCTAGGGGGATGAAAACTCTGAATTCAAAATTGTATATAACCGTACAGTGCAGCTAAGGAAAGGATTGTTCGCACGGATTTGATGATCTCAACTACTGTCGACTCCTTTATTGTAATTTAATAATTTACAGTAATTTGAACTAACGTGGCTGAAAATATTGTAATGAAATTTAATAGTTCATACAGCATCCAAAACTTGCATTCTGACATAAAATCTGTCTTCCATCACATCAGCATATGAAAAACATCCCAAATGCATTGCATCAGCCTATGAAAAACATTGAAAACAAGCGTTCTGACATAAAATCTGTCTTCCATCACATCAGCCCATGTAAAACATCCCAAACATATTGCAGTAACCTATAAAAAAACATCCAAGACATTACATCAGCCTATGAAAAACTTTCCAAACACATCAGCCTATGAAAAATATCCAAAAAAAAAACATCAATTCAGCCTATAAAAAACATTCAAAACAAGTGTTCTGACATGAAATCTGTCTTCCATCACATCAACCCATTAAAAACATCCAAAAAAACATCACATCAGCCTATGAAAAATATACAAAAAAACATCAATTCAGCCTATGAAAAAACATCCAAACCAAGCATTCTTACATTAACACAAAAACACAACATTAAATCTTTGGATAATCTTCATGATAAATACCAGTGTTCTACTTGATGCTTATAACATTTAGTTTGCAAAGTAATGGTAGGAACACATTTGTTTAAAACCATCAGCCACAATAGAAATGGTAACAATTGGCAGTGATGGCCCCCTGTTTTCAGATGAAGCTATTCATTTCTGTCCATCTGTTTTTACTGTGGTGATTCAACATTATCTGTCATTTTTCCCCCTCTCCCTGTTATGGCAGGCAGCAGCAGCAGCAATCCCTAAGTGGTTACTGATTTGGTTCTGACCCAGTGGAATATGATTTAACTCTGTTGATCAAACAGGTCAAAAGTGTTTAATAATCCGGAACACAAATTAATGAAGTTTTAATTAATCTGATGTAGAGTGATGGTTAACAACCTAGATTTAAAAAATATCCGAGTAAGGTATCTCACTGGGTTTTACTGTTCATTAGAAATAAGGAAATGAGTGCTAAACTGTTATGTAATATCTCCTTCTTTATGTGCTGCATCTCTTCAGGATGTAGGTGATCATGGCTCTCCACAATTTCCTGCCCTTTGTAGCTCTTAATAAATTTTGTCTATTTGTTATTTCTCCCAAACCCTGTTTTACAAAAGTATGTTGTTTTCCTCTGTCTGTCTTTTCTTCAATCTGTCCTGTGAGTATCAGATTTTCCAAGCTCTCTTTCCTCATTATTTGTCCTAAAAATTTCAGCTGCCTCTACCCAATGTTAACTATAAGTTACCTTTTTGTTTCCATTTTCTCTAAAACTTTGTCACTGCTTACATATTCTGTTGATGGTGTCCTCAACATCCTTCTATAGAACCAAATTTTTGTTGCTTCACTCTCTTCTTCTTCATCTTTGAGGAGATTGTCCAGCATTCACTGCCAAATAGGAGGATTGATATGGCAGTGAATGCTGGACAATCTCCCCAAAGATGAAGAGAAAACTCGAGGCAACAGAAATGCGGTTCTACAGAAGGATACTGAGAATACCATGGATGGTGCATATAAACAAGAAAGAAGTCATAAGGAAAAGGGAAACAAAAAGGACACTTAGAATTAGAAAGAGACAGCTGAAATTAAGAGATAATGAAGAAAGAAGGCTTGGAGAATGTGACACTCATTAGACATATTGAAGGCAGACGAGACTGTGGGAGACAGTAGGATACCTGTCTGACTAGCTTGTGTGAGTGGATGGTGGAGCAGAGCATGTGGGGTATGGAAAAAAGACAAAGATTATGAAGAACTACAAGAGATAGAAAGCTGTGGAGAGTTATGACCACTCACGTCATGAAGGGAAACATCAATAGATATGGTAGAGTTCCAGTTGTAGTGTTTTCTTTTTACTAATGTTTGCACAAAGTCACAAGTCAAAGAGCCACTTAAGGTAGAGAGTAACTGAATGACATGTTTGATATGAATGTAAAGTAGGAAATGATAACTATGAGAATATGGAGGATAAATTACGATTGACCCTTGACTTGAAGAGGTCAAGATTGTAATTGAGAAAAAGGTGTCTTCCTGGATCTTCCTCTTTACAAATGGAATATGGCGGGAATCAGGGTGGTTTGTTACTGTTGTTAATTTTTTAACGGGTATTTCTTTCATCTTAATTTTAGTGAATTCAAAGGTATTTGCACATAAGGTACTATAACAAACCCAACTGGAATTGGAACTCGCCTGTCTGATTTAAAATTCCAAGCCATTATCCATTACACCACCCGCACATACAAGCTTAGAGCACCTGGTATTCCCAAATGGTCACCCATCTAGGTACTAACCAGGCTTGTCATTGCTTAACTTTGGTGAGTGTAAGGGAACCGGTGTTTCAACATAATTTGGCTGTAAACCTGTAAGCAACAAAAAAGTTAAAGGAGAATTATAACAAAATGGACTCTTGTAGTTAAAATCAAAACGAGACAGTAGGAATTTCTTCAATATGGAAAGAAGGTTTGGAGAATTTGATACTCACAGGATGCAGCAAAGGTAAGAGGAAAACAGTGAATTAGATGGCAGAACAGAAACTGGGAGGAATAGTAAGGAGATAAACATTGTTTAGAGCCACAAAGGAAAGGAAGTTGTGGAGAGCCATGATCGCTCACGTCTTGAGGAGACACTGTATTTAAAAGGCTAAGAATGTCACAGATTATGTGACAAGTTTTTTTTTTTTTTAGATGCATTACTTTTTTTAGAAGAAACATATTGTTCCTATTTTCTATTCGGGTTTTTAATTGTCCAGAGTTTGTTATTTGAGAACAATCAAAACGTTCATCATGGCCGTCTGTGTCATTATTACTACTGCACTGTATATATCGTATTGATGTAAACTTGGGGAAAAAAAAAATTAACTTATATGAAAAAGAAAAGAAGTTTCTTTGAATCTTCCTTTGGTAAGTACACAGTTTCATTTCATTTCGTTTTGGGTTTTTTTTTTTTTTTTACCAAAAATGTTTTTAACACCAGATAAAAAAAGATGGGCGTGAAGAAAGAAATGTTAGGGAAAATAAATCAGCAAGTAATAAAAGATAGACATATAAAAATGTCAGTAAGTGTCAAGAATACCAAACCTACACCCACTCCCACATTAAAAAGAACGAATATATATATATATATATATATATATATATATATATATATATTTATATAATGAGAAAAAATAAATTACTATGTGTCATCGAAAATAAGAAAAAAATATATATATATATATATATATATATATATATATATATATATATATATATATATATATATATATATATATATCTCAAATAAAACTTGAAATAGCTGAAGCTTTTTCTCCCCACATCCATACACACAAAATTCAGAAATGATTTCCTTTTTTTTCACTTTCTTTCTCTTAGGTTTCTTTTCTTCAAACACTGATGTTAGAAAAATCTCTCTTTCGTTGACTTATTTGAACACTTCAATTCATTTTACTTATTCTCCACACACATATCAGAATATATATATATCTTTGACTTTTAAGTTAGTCATAAGGGCGGTAGGGAAGCTGTGTTGTGAGCAGCGTGATGATAAGGAGGGGGAGAACTTGATGGATACACTGAAATCAATGATTTCAATACAAGATATCGATTCTGAGAGACGATAGCTATACGACCTAGATTTATCTTCTTATTTCATAACTTAGACCGAAAATTGTGCATTCACAAGTCACCGGTGCACTCATTCTAGCAAAGTGGGAATTTCTCTTTCTTGATGTCTCTTTCAATCTCCCTTTCAATTTTCCATTGATGATATGATGTATATGGCAAACGAAGCTATCGTCACAAACATCCAAGTCAGACGACGACGAGACCTTATCAGAAAGAAAATAACTCATTTCGACAAAATACGAAGTCGTTTGGCAGATAGTGGAGAGCATAGATGAATGAGAGCTCATTCTTAGGACACTGCTTTACACTGACATACAGGCGTACACATCGATATACGAGGGCACATATGCTGGCTTGCGTATACGCCTGTACAAAATGACTTGTGCCTATAAAGGATCACTGACAACATGTGCCTAGAGATGACAAAACATGTTGTAATATTTAAAATTAAATAATTAAAATAATAGGTTTCTAAAGATTTCATAGGCACGACATAAAAGTCACAAAATCATCATGTGTATTTGGGCAGTAAATTCAGTCTTACTATTGTTCATACAGTTTTTCATTTATTGGGACTAAGTTAGTGTACAGACTGCCTTTAGTGATTATTGTCCCAATAAACTCTCCCTATGAACAGTTTCTACAGTCTCTTTGCTTGTCAGATTTAATGAAACATTTATAAAAGAAGGTTTTCTGACCAAGTGCACAACATGCTGATTCTATTTATTCGCCATTTTTGTCATACACATGAATTCTTCAGAAAACCGTTATTTTAATTTTGCATATTACAACTTGCTTTTGTCATTTCTAGGCATGTCATGTTGTGTGTGTATATATATATATATATATATATATTGTGTGTATTTAGGCAGCATATTTTCATTTATACACGTTTCATTAAATAATATAGACAAGTGTTGTCTATTTATTTTATGTAAAATTTTTTCGTATCTTCTGATAAGTTTGGTAACATTATCATTAACCGAAAAAAGAAATTCACAATATTTATCCATTATTTTTTAATAAAATCTAAGCTTTCGGCTTACTCAAGCCATTATCAAAGATGTAATTACAAACATATCAAACAATATATGGACACGACAGCGATGATAGTCTGTCATTGTTTTGTTTACATAGTATGGAATCTCTACAAATATTCTTAAATGTCTATAATTTCTATAATTGGTAACAGAAGCCATTGGTTTATACCAACGGCTTTCCTTATTTCATTCTACAATTCACTCTCGTGTAGTCATGTGTGACGTCATGAGATGCGATTTTCGCTTCTAGTGTCTTATATGCGCGTGTTCATCGTTGCTTAGTGATCCACTATGTAAACAAAATTTTACATAAAATAAATAGACAACACTTGTCTATATTATTTAATGAAACGTGTATAAAAATATATATATATATATATATATATATATATATATGGTTACATATTTATACGACTAAAATATATATATATATATATATATATATATATATTTAAGCATTTCACCCCTAGCAAGGCGGGAAGCCACTAGCACGCAAGGGGTTACAGAGGATTTGAAGCGAGAGCAGATAGGAGTGATAGAGGAAAGGATGAGGAGAAGGATAGTGGATAGATCAAGGCAACTGGAGATGTCGATTGACATTACATTTGAATAGTTGGAGATTATAGCTATCAGGGAAACAGGAATAGGGAAACGAGTTCCACAGGCGAGAAGTGCGAGATATGAAGCTATTGGAGTAGAAGAGATGGCTACATTTAACAGTTTCGACAGTGAAAGGGTGAGAGCGGGATGCCAGTCTCGTAGGGCGCTTGAATTCACGAAGTCTGGGAACCAGCGAAAGCAGCTCATCGGAGCAATTACCATGAAAGTATTTGTAGAAAAGACAGAGAGAGAGTTACGGCACGTGTATATATATATATATAATATATATATATATATATATATATATATATATATGTGTGTGTGTGTGTGTGTGTGTGTGTGTGTGTGTGTGTTTTATCTAAAAATAAATACGCTTATATTCACATTCATCCTTGCCGTGCGCCAACGGCTTAGTGGTAGAAATCCGACTGACGCCAATCGGGTTTCGATCCTAGCTAGAGGCAACCGGACGTCTATCCACACTGATGAGCTGTGATACAGCGAAACAATCTGTCTGTGGATGACTATATATATATATATATATACCTAAACATTATTTTAGTGGATACTCGTATTTGAATAGACACTCCATTTATCTATTAAATAGTATATTTATTCATTTTCGTCCAACAGCCTGAATATCTTATTAAAGAAAATATGCGCTCTCTGGCAGGATTTGAACCCTTGTACCCCTAGGGGAAACTGCCAATAGATCTAACGTGCTTTTTGACCTCTCAGCTATGTTATTAAGTATCTAACATTGTGAGAACAAAGATGACGGAAGCAGAAAGAAAAAGAATAATCGGCTAGATTATATACCCAAAACACATTTATTGCTTTTTCTTTCTAAATTTAAAATTCCCAGCGTCTCTCGTTCATGCGCATGTGTAATTGCATCAACGTTAAACAAATCTTGTCCAATGAAATCCTAAGGGTCGAAACGCTTCAAACGAAAAATTTTCCCATTTTGTCATACATCTTTCCTCCAAAAACTTTTTTTGATATATAAAAGCTAAAGCAGTTGGTTCCAGGAACAAGCTGCCAAAAACAATATCTAAAATAAGATAAAAAAAATTTGCAAACGTAATAGAAAACATATAACAAAAGAAGAGAATTTTCAGTCAATCGCTGTTAGTTTAAGAAAGAAAACCGACAAGTTTTATCTCTTCTAAAAACAGATAAATACGAGACTTTGCATTAGAGCGAGGTTTACCAATTCCAAAATGCCACCTCGTCTATACACCAAGCAACTCTTTTTCCCCAGAGATAAAACGAAACTGTTCGAGATCAAAAGACAAACCTATAACTAAAACAACACGCAAACTTCACCAAGTCGATATGTTTGTACTTCCGTTGCTCCTGTTAATTGTGAGCAATGACATTTACTAAAACGTGTGGATTTTCTCTCTATCAGACAAATGTTTTTTTGTTTTTTTTTGCAAACATTTCAAATAAGATTGTTCACTCTGAAACGATATATCTACAAAAATCAGCTAGCACACACCTTTGCATAGAAATGTAAAAACGTAAATAAATTGCATTGAAATTTTACAACTATTGGAACTTTTTTATTAAAAATCCAAATGCAGTTATTATAGGAATTATAAAAAGATACCTACGAATAAATGTTACATTTGTCAAAAATTTGTTGATCCAAAAAGCCTTTTATCAGAAAGACGATATTTAATATTCCTTTTTGCCAGGTTACTATTTTATAATGGCTTTAGACTTTAGTTAGTCACAATTTATCGAGTAAAGAGTTTTCCTCTATGGTATTTTGACTTTATGAATTTAAGCATAACACTAGATTAGCAGCAAGGTCTCATCGTTTTCCAGCTTCTTTCCAGTCAAGATTTCACCCCAAGCAAAGCAATAAAGCCGCTAAGGTTCAAGAGGTTACTAGGTGTCAGAGAATATGAAACAAAGAATTGAGAGAGAACAATAACAACTGGAATTACAGAAGACAGAGATTGAGATTGGATTTAAATTTTTGAAGATCCAAGTTGACTGGAAAGCAATTAAGACACCAGAATATAGAAACAGACTTGTTGCCTTATATATATATATATATATATATATATA